AATAGTAGAGAGCGATGTTTGATAAATGTGCATAGTAAAAGGGCATATTACGTGAAATAGTACAAATTCATATATGGTACAAAATAAACATGTAACTTTACATTGTAATACAAGTTCAACTTGTAACTCGAAATACTAGTACTTTTTTCTTAAAGTACTCAAAACACCAGTACTTTATAACATAATAAAATGACTATTTATAACTTATAAGTACTAAAGATATACATATTCTTAGTTTCTAATATGGTAATGTCTATTTTTTATTCAAACTTTTTTTATATTTTCAAATCTATTAAAATTTAAAATTCTATTAATTATCCAAATCTTTCATAATGCATGAAAATATTAGTCATTTTTATCCAAATCTTTCATAATGCATGAAAATATTAGTCATTTTTATTCTATCGTTAATAATTTTGTAACTTTTTTCTTAGTTAAAATATTAAAATTTTGAAATGTTGACCTTCATGAGTCTCTTCCAAGTCAGTATCAATTTGTCAAGTCAATATTACTAACAAAATTACTAACTAGAAGTTAAAATTTAACTAATACTTAATCTTTTGGTAGGTTTGGATAATATAAAAAAATCTGAAAAAAAAATTTGAATAAAAAATAAACATTATCTTTTCAAGTTTACTATACGTAAAAGAAGTAACAAGACGCAAACAAACAAAAATGTCCTCTGTCACTTTTTTATTTTATTTTATCTCTGCCTTGTGAAAGTAGGCAACCCCTTTCTAACTTAGATCAAACAAAAGGCAACAAACGGAAGCCAAAGCAAATTGAGAGAAAGTGTCCTTCAAGGTATAGCATGCATGGCTCACATGCATGAGTGTGAAATATGAGGATTTGAAGGCATGAGAAAATGAATTGTGCTTTCCACCCTGAAAAATCTATATGAAGCATGCAAATATGTTAACTTTTTCATTTTAGTGCTACCCACAAAAATGTGTATTTTGGACAATAAAATATTTAAAAGGATTAAATTTTCTCTCATTATAATTGTTCCCACCATATAAAATGAATATATATATTTATTTATTTACAGATAAATAATGGAAAAAAAATGAGATATGAATAGGACAATATACATATATGGGGTTTGTGGGCAGGCTGTGTGCTAGCTAATAGCTATGTCAAAATTCTTCTTTCACAAGTGCATATCCTTTTCACAAATTGATGCCAATAGATGATTTTCCCCCCACACATTCTTTTGCTTTCTTTAGCTTTGGCAATGCTTCCTACATGCATAATTCATCTAGTCCATTACAATTGCTATATATGCCTCTCTCTTTTTTTTTTTGTGTATGTCTAATCACTAGCTAGTGTCTATTCATGAATAAATCATGAAAAACCCTAAGGGATTGCATGAGAAAAATTAACCTAAACGGGATCAATCCTTCTAACATGCATTCATTGTCGTTTCTGGGTGAGATGAATCGTTTTAGCGTTATATCTTTTGATTTCTCGATAATATGAATTATCTATGTATTGACTAGAAAATCACTCATACTAAAGCCTCCATGGATCATCATTCATCAATATTTCGTTCCTTCTTGAGTCTGTTATCTAATTGTATATGGATGATGAGAGGAATTAATCCATGCTTGAGTGTATCCCCGTACCTCGGATAATAATTGAATTGGCCCAAGTGTGGGGACTATAGATAGAGGATTGCTTGCATTACACATTTCAATTTGATTAATTATATTGTACCTCATCACAATTATTTGCAGATTATCAATTTAATTCATTAAACAAAAGTCCTAATACATGTCATGTTTATGGCTCTTGATCACGAGTGGACTTAATTAGGTGATTGGGAGGTGTGTCAACCGACGTACATATCCGTCCGAGATTTCGGTAAAAAATATATGTTTCATCATTTAAAAATAATTTGAAATGGGTATGTTCTTATAGCCTCTATGAGAAAGAAGTGAATGAGGACGATGCATGGCAAACTAAACGAGGACACTTCCAGAAACTGTAATTGACACATCTATTGAACCTGCAAGTTGTGAAATAATTCTTTTTACTATGAAGTGAATCAAAAAAAGATCTTCCAAATCAGATGAGTGACCCTGAATGATTGTTTGGTTGTATATATTGAAAAAGATTTAAGATACAAAATATGATATGACTGTATTTCACAAACCTTTCAGAAATTTAAAAATTAGTTACTTTATAGTGGAAAACAATGAAATTGTGTACTCTATGAATTATATATTTATTTTAATTTTTATTGATCAACACATCTATTCAAAAATCTTGGATCCGCCACTGCTCTCGATCATCATGTGGAACCAAGTGGTATAGCTTCTTCACGTTCATTTTCTCTACATTAATATTTGTAGGGTATATAATCTTTTGGGTACATATATGTGCTGAACTGAAGGGCCAAATAGTTGATATCCACCATCATTTTCAGCGCAATGGGAAAATAATTTGTGGCCTCAAGTCCTTCAAACATGCTACCACATGTACATATAGCATGAGGCATGAGGCAATTATTTAATATATAAATCAAGTCAGGAAAATACTATCCTGAAATAAAATACTTGAAAATCACAATTCACAACAAAAATATTAACAACCGCTTTGTCCAACTTGTTAATTGTGTGTAAGGAATAGATAAACGTGTTGTTTTAGGTTGAACCTTACACGTTTGTACCACACTCGTGGCAGTTTTCTCAACAATTTTATTGTGTTAGGCGTCAAACAATTAGCTAACAAAAGGAACTATCTATAATAAATCTTAATTAAATACATACATATACAATATTACATTTGGTAAAATATATCTTAACGATTTTGATGTAACAGAGATTCTAAACTAAAATTTTGGGATCGATAAATCAACCTTATAAGAACCCAAAACAGCTCCATGCACTAATGATGCAATTCCGAATACATAAAGGTAACCCTTAGAAAAGTGAATTTACAGGTTTCATTTTATTGGAGTGATACTTTTATGCATGGTTGTCAAACATCTAGTATGTTGGTCAGTATAATCGGGTTCAATCATTGTTTTATATTAATTTGATGGAAGAGCATCAATATGAAGTAATAGTCAAAATTGATAATAAAAATTAGAAAAAATCGGTTGTCTCAATGGAATAATTAATTTGAATTCCTAAAAAAAGTATGTTATGTTGGTGGGCGTAATTATTAACAAAAGAAAGGAATTTTAGATGTTGATGTTATTTATTGGATGCAAATATAAACATTAGAACGTTGATGTTAAATGTAACATTTAAATATTGTGATTTGACATTTTATTTGTAATGTAATTTTTTATTTATTTACATATGAATGTACATGTTAGATGGATTGTCTTAAATATGCCCAATTCATTTGGTGTAAATGAATTTTCACTTTATTCTGTTAAAACTAATACATAAATCGATTGTACCCCAGTCAAACCATATCACTTGCAAAATCAACATAACGATTTACACGGGTTTCACAACATTACTTTTACGTTAATTCTACACACAAAAAGCACAAGTTCATTCTCTTCTAAGAACCGAACTAGTGCTAATCAGAAAAATAGAAACAAACGTAACTAATTAACTATTTCTTTCCATTATTCCATATATGTTAATTAAACACTCTCCGCCTACTAATTAATACTTTAACACACAAATTAAGTTTTTAATATTATATGATTAAAAAAATTCTATTATTATGTGTCATTCATTTATATGATTATAAATGACGAACTACAGCAAATGTTGGTTAACAAAAAGAAAAAAACCCTATTTATCAACTTTTCTTTTTCTTCCATTTTCATTTCCCGCAGAACCCAACCACAGAGCAATGATAATTGCTTAGCTGTCAATCCAGAAACCGAAGATGAACGGTCACGATTTCCCTGCTGCTCAACCTCTGACGTGGATTCCCCTCCTTTAAATACTCAATCATTGGCCTTCTCCCTCTTACCCACTCTTCCCAAAACCCTCCCTCCCTCCCTCTCTCGTTACCCTCACAACGCCTGCTGCCAGAGAAGAAGAAGAAGAGAACAGAAAGAACTCAGAAAACCCACCAAAACCCAATTCTTCATTTCTCAAACAGAGATCTCCACAAGGGAAAAAGCTCGCACCTTTATTTCTACCCCAAAACCAAGCGGAGGGAAGTTGGTTGCAGAGCTTTTCGGCGGGTAGCTTGGAAATGGTGTTTTTCATGATTCTGTTTGCAGCAGAAGAGAAACGCGAAGAAGGCGAGTGGGAAAAAGAGCGATAGGCAAACAAACAAAAACAAGCTCAAAAAGAAGTTCACTTTTCCCCCCTTTCCTCCTGCTACTTCTATAGCAGAGGGATTTCTTCTTTCTACAGAACAGAGAGTTTGCCCGCTGCCGGCGGGAAATCTCCGATTGCCAGGGTAGAAGGAAGTTTCTAGCTAGTCAGGTAATTACACTTCCTCTCCCATGTTTCCATCTAGGAGCTAATCAAAGAATTCATTTCTTTCTTCCTTCCTTTCCATAATTGTGTTTACAGGAAGAAAGACTTTTGAATTTGCTGCCAAAAATGTTTCTCCTTTTTTTCCTTGCTGTTGTGTTGTTGTCTTCTGCTCTGTTTTGTTTTTCTTTCCAATGTTCCTTCATTACATGTGAGAAGGGGGGAAAAAAAAAGAAAAGGTTGTCTCTTTCTCTTTCACAAAGGATTCCAAAAAATCCTCCAGCTGGTGATTTCCTATTCTGATGTTTACGCGTAATCCCAAATCTCCCCCATGTTCTGTTGTCCCTCCACTTTTAAGAAACCCTCCAAAAAATTTACAAACAAAGAAAAATGACAGGAAGGAGAGTGATCCCAGTTAGACTCTAAGTGGGATGAGCTGAAATTCTAGTAATTTCTATTTCGTAATTAATGTTGGTCACAAGATTCGAATACATGACCTTAATCGGTATAGTAGAAGATAGTGTAATCATGGACAATATGCATATGCAGTTGATCATTATCTTTACAAACGCATTGAATTGAGTTTTACAGAGTAATTTTTTGAATGCTCTAATTTCCAATTCATCACAAGAATTTGCTTCTGATGTGTTTTTCCCTTCTTCTCCTATCAAAAACAGGAAATTAAGGACCCCAAAAAAAACAATGTCAGCAACCATGATAAGCGACCCTTTGGTAGTTTCACCACCGGAAACTCAACCTCTGCCGCCGCCCGTCGCCGCCGCCGAAGTTGAATCGGCTACCTGTGACTGTTGCGGCCTGACGGAGGAGTGCACGCCGGCGTACATCGAAAGGGTACGGGAGAGGTACCACGGCAAATGGGTGTGCGGCTTGTGCTCGGAAGCGGTAAAGGACGAGATAGTGAGAACAGAAGCAGAGAGACTTATAAGCACCGAGGAAGCATTGGCGCGACACATCAATTTTTGCAAGAAATTCTCATCGTCGCCAGAGCCGACTCCGATCGACCCGACGCTGCATTTGATCTCTGCGATGCGACAGATTTTGCGACGGAGTTTCGATTCACCGAGGTCGTCGCCACGAGGGCCAAGATCGACTCCCGGAAGCCCCATGACGAAGTCTGTGGTGAAGCTGGCAAGGTCTGAAAGTTGCTTCACGACTTTGTCTAGTTGATGAAAGTAAATCAGATTTGAATCTTGCGACTAACAAAGAAATGTAGGGAAATCGATAAGGTACTGTTGCAAGTTATGCGAGTTGTTTCGCGATCGTATCTGATTGGCTAAGTCAATTAGTTTCGAACGTTGACCGGCGGGAGGAACTAGGATGGTTGGAGAACTAGGATGGGGCTTTCTGCTAAGTTTGAAGCAAGGGAAAGGAAGAAATATTGGATGGAAATTGAAAATTACAGCCCTTTATCGGACTGTTTCATGTTTTTTTGTTTCCTTTCTTTTTTGCTGGGACTCTCTTTGTTTCAGTTGTGAAAGATCAAAGAATTGTAAAAGTTCTTCTCTCTTCTATCTAGGGTTAAAAAAAAATGGTCTTTTCAGTCCTCAGAACTCAAGGTGGAACTATGTCTTGTCCAAATAATTAGGTTTTTGGGACTGATTGTAGTACAGAATGGAATCATCTGTACTTTGCTTGAAGTTGTGGCTAGTAATATAATCTAGGAATAAATCAAAACACAAAATCAATTAGTCATATCAATCAATCAACTCAATGCTATTGGTTTAGTTATGAATCTTGTGAGAGATAAGACTGCATGAGTTATAAAATAAAAAAAACTGGACTTGAAAGGAAAATCATATTAACAAATATATTTAACTGAGAGTTTCTTTGTTTGTGAGGTCTAGCAATAAACAGATGTATATGATTAGAGACGATTAAACTTTTGAAATCGATTCTTGTTATTATTACGGAATGGTCTGTGGCATGGAAACATATTGCAATGTAAAACAATGTGTTTCCGATCACTTAATACATGTATTTGTATTTGTTGGGTATTTACTATTTAGATTATCAAAATTACTCCACCCAAACCTAAAGAAAGAGTTCCTGAAAGATGCAGGAAAGGTATAGGTTGGCTTACAGAATTTTTCTTTCTTCCTTTTTATTTTTGGTGGAATTTTTCTTTCTTTTTGGAGAACTACAATTTATTATCCCCCCATTGCAAAGTGATGGGCCAATTTTTATTGATTCTTTTCTCAATGCCTTTCACAATATGACAAAATATGTATATTACACATTAATATACAGGAGCAAAGCTGTACACTTGTGAAGCAATTATTTGACTCTCCTCTCCCAATTGAAATCTCCATACTATACAGTGTATATCTTCTATGACACCCTGTGAATTATGATTGGTTGATTTTCTTTTATTTATTTGGACTCTTTTCAATTGGTAGGAAATGAGTTGTATAGTTGGAATATAGAGAGGGAGTAGATAAGTAGCATTTTGCTCTTTCTCTGTCTCTAGAGAAAGAATCTCATGTTGCTGTCTATCTTCTTCTCTTTAGTCAATTCATCATCCAAATAATTGTGGGGGAAAAAAAAGCAATTGAGCTTATTGTTAGTGTGGGAATCTCTCAATTTCATATAGACATGTTTTGTTCTCCTCATTCGCCCATGATTTGCCAAAGATTCTTTGTGTATCCTTCAAAGAAAATGATTTTCACTTCAAATGAGATAAAAGTATCATAATTACGCAAAACTGATATTGTAAAATCTCCAAGTTCTTATCATTCCTCAATACTGTCAATATCTATTCCACTCCGCTTAACATGTTTCCAACCATATTTGATTTATCAAAATGATGATGATCATCAGTCGATCATGTTCGTGATTTCAGTGATGACAAATACGATTGGCACATAACCTAATTAACTTGAACACTTTGGATCACTAGCTCATACATTTGTCACCTTTGCTATATATGGCCATAACAAGCATGTGCCTTTCATGTATTGATATGTATAGAGAGAGAGATCTAGAGAGAGATTCCTAGTATAACATTCGCCAATTAGATAGCTTTATTCCATGTATGAAATGGTAATATTTATTATTAAATCATTCACCCCAACTCAAATTATTTCGGAAAATTAATTCTATGATATCAAGTATTATCAATGGCGTAGTTAGGATTTTACTTAAGGTGGGTCCAACATAAAAATAAAATTATATAAAATAAAATTTTCATATTTTGTCGACAGATTTTTGTTTAAAGGTGAAGAATTCAAACTAAATTAGGAATTAGTAAATTTAGAATAAACAATTAGAGACACAATTTTATCTAAAATATAGAATTATGAATATATATACAAATCTAATGTGTGTCACAAAGTTTTCTACATATTGTTGGTATACAAGTAAGACCAGTAAACAAACGGTACTGAGTTCGAGTATTATATCGTGTAAAAGTATTTTGGTGTTTTAATCTAGAGCCAATGTGTTTTTCAAAACTCTCTTCGCTGCAAATTGACTCCACCACTGACTCTTATTATGAACTGAAATGTATCATCCTAATTGAATTAGCTCGTCATATTTATATTTGATTTTTTAAACACAACATGTAACTATTACTGTCATCATGACAACATTTATATACAGAAAAGACTTCTTAAGTTTATGGTCACAAAAAAGGTATCCCAAAATTTTCTGTTGCTCCAATTGAAAGAGAAACGAAAGACCAAATTTGGTGAGATGCGGTTGGCCACAATAACTAGACTTTTTTTTTTTTTTTGAAAGGACCACAATAACTAGACAATGTGTGGATGACTGTCAAAAAATTTCAAAAGAATAAACTAATTTCGACTGGAAAAATATTAATTTATGAGACTTTTTCTTTTATGCTGATTTATTTATGAGAGTGAGTTGTGCCAGGCCATATGGTGAAATTAATGGCATTTCAATACAAATGTATATGCCTTAGGTTGCTGTGAATCTTACTCCGTCACAGAAAAAAACGGATTTTCCCCAAAGTACACAGGTCTTTAAAAAAATTTCTCAAAATACACATATTTTATGAAATATTCTCAATCTTATTACGTGATGTCAGTCACACAAAATCACAAATCACTTTTTTTTTTAATTAGTACGGTCTTCTGTTGACCGGTTAGTTCCAGCCGGCCAGGACAAAGGTATTGGCCCCCATTTCTGTATTATTCATAGAACTTTCATGAAAGCATGGAGAGAGAGAGAGATTAATCAACATATCGAGATGTAATTATTTTTACCAATTAAACTTGGCTTTGTGTGCTAATTGGAAAACTGCACTTTAGCTTACTTAGCCCTTTTCTGCTGCATCTTTGGAACTGGGACGGGATACGGTCACTTCTTCTAATGGGATTGTGAGATTCACAACCAATAGCATTTTGGGTATAACAAAAAAAAATTAATTAATTTTTTGTATTAATTACAGATTGGAAATTAAAAATCTATATTAAATACATGTTTTTTTAAATTAAATCCTACAATAGATACATTTATATCTTTCTCTTCCTATCTCTCTTTTCCTTTTTCAGCAGCCAATCCACACCGACCGGCAGACTTTTTTCCGGTGAAATCCTTCAATCGGACTCGTTCCAGCCATCTGCAAAAAAACCACTCCGTCAATGTGCTAGTGGTACGCTACCAGTGGTAGTGGTACGGTACCACTGGTACCATTATCATTGGTAGTGGTATGCTACCACTACCAGTGAGTAGTAGTACGCTACCAGTTAAAATAAGTACCACTAGAGACTAACATAAAAAAACCAGATATGGAATCTGGAAAATCTCTGATCTGGCAAAAAAATCAAGGGATGGGGAAAGGAGAAGGCATGCGAGAGGTCGTTACCTCGCAGCGGCAGTGGTAGTGGATGAGGGCGGCGGGAGAGGAGGACGGCGGGAGAGAGATGACAACGACAGAGGGAGGAGGGAGGCAAAGGACCTCATGGCGGTGGTGGTGGGAGGCGGAGGAAGGGGGAGACGAAGGGCGCGACAGGGGGTTGAGGGTTGTGGGAGGGCTGCGGAGGTGGCACCAGCGGCGGTGGTGGGAAGACGTCACCGATAGGAGGAGATGGGGATGGCGGCAGAAGATGATGGATCTGTTAGGGTTAGAGGAAGAGAGAGGAGAGGAATATGTAGAGTTATTAGGGGAGAGAAATCTGATGTGGTTATTTTTTTCGTCCAAAAATACCCCTGGATTAATCTCCTTCATCCATTCAGAAAAAGAAGGAGAGATAATGAATCTAATGGCTGGGAGGTGGGTAGCACATCTCACAACCCTTAAAAGGGAAGTGACGGTATCTCACCCCTTTGAACTTCATTTGATGTCATATAATGCTATTCTAACTCTTCTTCTTTGTTTAGCTTTTATTACATTTGGATTGATTCCTCGAGGAAAATGGTCAAGGAAGAAGAAGCTAAGACAAGCATGTCCTACCAGAGTTTCTAGATCAGCATGTAAACAAAATGATCAGGATACAATTTGAGCTATAGGCAATTCGCTTCGGTAATTGATTGTGCTGCAAGGAACCATCCGGAAGGGGACCAGGCCAACATCAGAATTACTTGCTACAGGGGTTAAATGCCTAATTGAGTCACACTGGAAACAAAATGTTAACTAAAAATGAGTTGTAACAGTTAGTATAAATGTATAATCAGCATTCACTAAGGATTTTAGTTTAACTAGTGACAAATTTTGTCAGACCTCATAGTTTTCAGTCATCTATTTATAAAAGAAATTTATCGTGCGGTCTTTGTAGGCTTTTCTTTAGCAGAATCCAGTCAATATTTTCAATCAAACCTTAATGCCTACATCTCATTCGTAGAGTTGGTGATGCTCTTTACCTCTTTCAATTTTAGGATTCACGGTGTAAAAGACAATTGAGGAAGGACGAAGAGGGCCAGAGTGGGCACAAAATTGTTTGTCCAAAGCTCAAGAATTTGTTTAGTGAGGGATGTGATTATTTTGAGGAGAAGAAACATATATATTTATACTCAGTTAATTATATGTTTTAACATTTATCCAACTATCTGATTATCGGTTACACCAGAAGCCATTTTCAAACTATGATAACCACAAACGCCAACTTATAATCGGTTAATAGTTAGTAAAAGTGGAAGCCTTATTTTGACGTGTCACGGAACACACCTCAAATTTTGGAGAAAATTATTAACCACATATAGTGTATATATGGAATTGGAATACTAGACATTATGTAATAGAAGAAGTTTTATATACAACAAAAGAAATTTAGTTGGATATATTAAAAAAATATTTACTTAAGAGTATAAGCAATGAACGTCTTTTTACAATGGTTTATGTAAACACGTTACTCTTGTGTATGCGAAAGAAAATATCGTTAATTATCAATTACCAGTAAATTTAATAATTTAACTACTAACCTGCTAATTGCATATCACTAATTACATTTTAACTTATGTAATCACCAAGGTTGTCAAACCGCGGATCGACCCGGACCCGGACGAGCTAGTGGGTCATGGGTCAATGGGTCACCCGTTTTAGCCCGGTTTAGCCCGGAAATATGGAAAATGTAATTATATTATACTTATCCTGAATCCAACATAAAAAAATGCAACACTACTTCAACTCCAACACACTTAAATAACATCAACTTAAATTCAACATAGTAAAAATTCACAAAACATCACATATATCTTTCGTTCCATTTATTGGAACCAAGTCCCAAACCCTTACCAAATGACTATGACTCAGGGAACTAAAGGTAATGGAGAGGCTCGGTTCGCAAATAATGGAAAAGAAAAGACAATGAGAAGATGGTCTCCGCCGACGAAGGAATTGGTGACCGACAATGAGAAGGGTGGAGGCACAGGCGGCCGAGGCGGAGGCCAAGGCGGAGGCCGAGCAGAGGCGGCCGAGCTGAAGGGAGGGGAGACGGAACGGTGGCGGCCGACATGCGAAGATGATTCTCACCGCCGACGAACCGGAGCGCGCCGCCGAAGAACCCTGGCGTGGCTATATCGATCGGCTGCGGGAGAGGGAGATTGTTGCGCTGCTGGAAATGGAATGTGATGTATGTTTGTAGGGTTTTGGTTTCCAGACGACCAGCAGGCCAACACCAAGCAGAACGGCGCCGCTTCCCCTCCTCGTTTGCTCTCCGCGCAGTCCGCATAAACGGTGACGCATCGGCCAAAACGGGGCTCAGGAAGAGCAACCCGCTGACCCGCTCCAACGGGCTAACCGGCCGGGCCAACCCGGGTTTGACTATTTCCGGCTGACATGAAAATGGGTTGGTATGGCCCGTTTTTTTGTCCGGGTCCGGGTTAATCCGGATCAACCCGCGGTTGACAACCTTGGTAATCACTAATTAGTAATGCTTTTCTGGTTGAAAGAAATAACGAATAAAATATTTAAATGGCTGTCTCGGACATGAGGCGAGGTGAGTCCGACCCGAACGTGGATATTGAACCCGTACGCAGAAATTTCTGATCCACCCTGCTACGCCCAAGAAATTTCTCATCAGCTCTCCATTTTTCAGCTGGGACTCCCAAAACCCTGCTACGATCTTTTCATCTTTTATCAATTCCAACAGGCAAGTCCTCGAATTTCCTTTAGCTCGCACCTTTCCCGCGGCTTAGTCGGTCTCAATCCCAATTCTAGGGTTGTTTAAGCAAATGAGACCCTGGGGATTCACTCATCGTTGAATTTGATTGGAATTAGTTGTTCTTACAAGAATCAGAGGCGGAAATTCGAGATGAATGTTCCCATTAGGTCGAAGAGTACCCCCAAAATCCCCAAATTGAGGGGGGTTTTCAATGGATTATGCGCGCTGATATTGGTTATCTTGTTGTCCAATCGGGGAGGTTCGATTGAGAACATTCCTGATAGTGAAAGTTCGAAGCTTGGATCTATTTCGAGGAATGGGGTGAGTCGGGTTGAACCGATTCGTAGGCAGATGATCGAATTCGATGCAAATTTGATTTCCCCGAGTTCAGGAAACAGGACTGATGTATTCGACACCACTTTAGAGGATATGAACAACAGGCCACATGAATGTAGAGATGTGATTGATCACAAGGGATACCCAAACCAATGTGCCTTCTTGCAAGCCAATCCACAATGCTTCTCTGATGGCTTCTTCGACTATGTTCATTTCGTGTACTGTGATTGCGGCAACTTCAGATGGCTGGGGTTTCTTTTGCTGGGGATCTGGCTTGCTGCATTGTTCTACTTGCTGGGGAACACTGCTGCTGATTACTTCTGCTGCTCGTTGGAGAAGCTCTCAAGTCTATTGAAGCTCCCCCCTACTGTTGCTGGTGTTGCCCTCCTACCGCTTGGCAATGGAGCTCCAGATGTTTTTGCGAGCATTGCTGCGTTCCTCGGAGAGAATTCCGGCGACGTGGGGCTCAACAGCGTATTGGGAGGTGCTGTGTTTGTGACCACCGTTGTTGTTGGTGCTGTCTCACTGTGTGTGGCGCAGAAGGAACTGCAGATCGATCGGAGATGCTTCGTCAGGGACATATGTTTCTTCCTCGTTGCTCTCTTCTCATTGCTGACAATTTTGATGGTTGGTAGAGTGACTGTTACAGTGGCAATTGCATTTGTTTCAATCTATGTGGTGTATGCATTCTTTGTAGCTGCTAATGAGCTCTTGAGGAAACATGCTCAGAGGTTGAAGTTGGATTCGGTGACGCCATTGATTCCTGTCAGGGGAAGTGTGTTTTCCCAGGGAAGTGAGGAAGAAGATGTAGGATCAGTTTACAGCTCTCTGCTCGAGGTGGATACTGAGAGTGATGTCATACATGATCTGCCACCGTCGTTGCCCTCGTGGATGTGGGCTTCGAACGTGGCGATATTCTCAAACCACTCGTCAAAGTCGAATTCTATGGATGAGGAAAGGTCGCCATGGGGATGGAACGATGACCACGAGGGTGGATCAGATATGAGAAAGTGTGCAGTCTCGTGTTCTCGATTGTTTTCGATCATGGAGATGCCGTTAACAGTGCCAAGGAGGCTGACAATCCCCCTCGTGGACGATGAAACATGGTCTAAACCATATGCAGTCAGCAGTGCTGCATTAGCTCCACTTCTCATTGCATATCTATGGAGTACACAAAGCGATCTCTCTCCTTCAAATAGAATCATTGGTTATATAATCGGAATATCACTTGGTTGCACGTTTGGGATTCTAGCTTATCAACAGACTCTACCTGACCGACCTCCTCGGACCTTTATGCTAGCATGGGTTATAGGAGGGTTCGTGATGAGCATCGTCTGGTTCTACATGATAGCAAATGAGCTCGTTTGTCTATTAGTTGCATTTGGTACTATATTAAGAATCAATCCATCGATCTTGGGACTAACTGTACTGGCATGGGGCAATTCCATGGGGGATCTGGTCTCGAACGTTGCACTGGCAATGAATGGTGGGGACAGTCTGCAGATTGCCATGTCTGGTTGCTATGCGGGTCCAATGTTTAACACACTCATTGGGTTGGGCGCCTCAATGGTGTTGGGCGCCTGGTCAAGGGGCAACGGTACATACGAGATCCCTCGAGATGGCACGCTGTTCTTGACCATTGGATTTCTCGTATCAGGGTTGCTCTGGGCTCTCATCGTGCTGCCTAGAAACGATATGCGTCCTAATAAGACGTTGGGCGTCGGGCTTATAGCTATGTATCTAGTTTTTCTGACCGTGAGGCTGACTGCTGTCACGAGTTTCGTATTAAGCTGAGCTCTTCATCTAATGTATTGTTGTAATCTAATTTGTCATGTGAACCTCATTCTGTAAACTTGCTTGTTCTGGAGAGTAGAGTCTTCATAGTTATCGTTTGAGCAAAGTCATTCTGCACATGCTGATATATAGGGCGACTTGATCATGTTGTACATAGACGGATTCTTTCAGGGTATTAGAATCACACAGTTTTTCTTGTGTTCTTTCACTTTTCCGTGTCTAATGTTTTCTGGGTTGGTTTAGTTTACTGCAATTGTAGGGCAGGGATACAATTGAACAAATAATTTTATTGATCTGCATAATTCTTCTCTGCTGCTTCATGGAACCAAAACATTTCTTAAAAAGTAGATTACAACAGTAAACTGCATACTATAGAATTGTGCACATACAACCGACAGATTGCAGCACGTAACCCAAATGAGCAACAGAGTTCCATTCTACATCCAAACCAATCTGCTATACAGTGAGGGACTGAGAGGATGGTGGAATGGGATGTGGCTGTGACCATGAAATACGACAGAGCGTGAGACTAACAATCTCTCTCTCTCTCTCTGGCGATGGCAATAGTTTCTGTGTCCATTGGGAATGTACAACTGCAACAGGCGCACGTTTGTTGTTGTCTGTCGTCTGGAGCTATGTTGTTTCCTAGCTATGACACGTCATGCATGCATAGGTCAGGTTCTCCAAACGCTTATTTTAAGCTAGTTCATAGTACAATACAAACAGCACTCAATATCTTTGAAACGTCTGTGTCACTGTCAGAACTTCATGGCCGATAGCCTGATACTGCTACTACACTACACTACTGCTTTTTATATCATTAATTTTCTCTCTTTTTTGCGAGTTTCCACCAAATATTTTTTTTTTTTTTTTTTGACAGTGAACAATCTTGCATTGCACTATGAAAGATCGGTTACAGAGAGGGAAAATGAAAAACAATCGAATCAAACCAAACACAGGCACCTCAGAGCAAACAGTTGACACAAACTGTGCTTGAGAGATACATCAAATAAGAGCAAAACACTGAGTGAAATCAACCACCCAAAGGGACCGAACACTTGATCCAAAACGAAAACATTCCAAACCTCTCATGCATCCGAACCAAACAGAGTAGCAACAAGATCAAGATCAGCTCGTCCGATCACGCCGAAGTCCATGACGATTGAGCAAAGCAATGTCATAAGCCGCCTCCTGGGGAAAACTCAAAGGTATCCAACACAGTGAATCTCAGAAATGAAATTACATGGCGGTGGGCAAGGGTGTGAAACAGATTGCTCCGAGCTGAAAAAGGCACAGGGAGTTGAGGCAGAGTGGTCAATCCATGGAGAGAAGAAGATCGGAATCGAGCCCCCCAAACTCTGAGGAAACACCGGACAACAGCCAAAACCACCTAGAGGAGACCCTACCCACCACAATCCGATGAACGGCCAAGCATCATTCAGACAGCAAGGGGAGATCGGAAGGGGAGACGTAAGGAATGGCTACACCAAAAGATGAAACCACCAGCCCAAGAGCATCAACCACCAAAACAGAGCGCGATGAGGCTCCCAAGCTGCCAACTCTAGATCCCAACATGAGCAAGCCCCGAACAGGAACCCCAATCAACGACCGAAGAGCATAAAGCTCAACAGGAGTGAAAGATGAAAATCCAGATCTGCTGGAAACTGAAAGGCCATAAAGGCTGGAAACTGGAAGGCCATAACGGCAGGAAAAGGGAGAAAACAGAATGCAAAGAGAGGGGAAAGCAAAGGAGAAGCAGAAGCATGAAAGGAAAGCATGGAAGGAGGGGAGCTGCCGCCGGTCACCAAACAAGTAGCCGACGGCAGCCCCTGGCCGAGGAAGAAGAAAGATGAACTGGCTAGAGAGAAGGCAGAGAAAACCAATTCAAAATAAAGTTAGAGAGAGAGGACTTTTATTGATCCACCAAATATTTTAATTGTGCATTTTCTTCGTGTTGCAGGGGAAGGAAAGATTCTCTGTTTGCCTTTCCCTCGTTTTCATATCTGCTCCCCAAAAAAACATCCTTCTTTTGAATCGTATCAAAAAGGTTTGTAGATTGCAATGATAAAGATTGGTACTTTAAGTTGGATGAATTGGCTGGCGTTTTAATTCATGTGCTTAAACATCATGAATTATTTAAGCATTATATATGATGAGATTTTACGAGCTTCAAGCCTATAAGTTGTCTTTGTTGGAAGGTGTGTCGCCGTAATTAGTACTCTGTTTAGAGGTTAACGACTCAGGAGTTTGGAACTATTTTTTAAGGGGAACTGAACAAGTTGGTTGCAAGGTGTAACATAGAGAATACAAAGTTGGGAAGCAAAATCAAAGCAGAGAGAAAATGAAGGCAAGAAGAGACTAGAGAGCTAGAACAGCGGCTGCAGGACCATTTTTCCTATTTACGACCTGCAGTTTGCAGTCACGTGTGTTCTGCAGCCATGCCCAGTTCTGCAGCTGCAAACTTCAAAATTTTGTCTTCCTCTCTCTTCTCTCTCTGAATCCACGGACTTATTGCCATCAGCTTTGCTTTTAAAACTCGCCAATGATAATTAACTCTGCTGCATTCATAACTCAGTCGCACCCCATTTTTTTGTTGCAGAGGCAGATGTAGTGGTTGGCAGTTGGAAACTTAGTAATATGGCTTAAATTAGCTGCGAAAGTGCAAATTTTGGCTTCTGGGTTCCCTTCATTCTTCCCTTTTCTCTTCTGGGTTTCCTGGGGTTTTTGATTTTTCTGAAGGAGGTATGGAAAATGGGAGGAGTCTGAAATCATGTTCATCATCATCAGGAGCTTCCTCAAGTGGGTCTTCTTCTTCAGTTGGTGTAGTTGTTGTTGGCCCAGTGAGCCCAAAGTCTCCTCCTTCTGGTTCATTGGATATGTATGGAAAGAGGAGGCAGCTTGTCAAAGTTCAAGTCTTGGAAAGAGAGATTGCCCTCCTTCAAGTAACTAATCATCCTCCCTTCAGCTGCTTCTTCTTCTTCTGCTAGCTTTTGTAGTAATTCATATCTTTTCATTCAATTTCGAAGCTTTCCTCTCTTTTGCCTCTATAGTATGTTGTTTTCACTTTGTGATGGTGCTCTGCTGATTCTGGAATCGAGATGCATTCCTTTTGGGGGACATGATTAAGTGGTTATGAATCCAAAGTCCATGCCTTTTGTTCATTTTAAGCTGAAATTGGAAGTGGAGCCCAAAAGAGAAAATATAATTTTTTTCTCCTTTGTTTATGTCAAGAAGAACTAGTTACCCACTTTCAGAACACATTAGAATTGAAGTTTGTATATGGTAATGTTATAAACATGTGTTTGAAAGAACTTTTAATGGTAAGTGTCGTGAAGATTCGAACACGACAGTTTATTAATCACGAGCCCTCTCATCCAACATCATCATTACAAGTTAAAGGTGGCAAAGTGAAAATGTTTTTTTTCTTTTTTCTTTTCCATTTGATGAAACAGGAAGAGTTGAAAGCTGTGGACGTCCTTCAACCAGCTTCAAAATGCTGCAGAGAGTAAGGGCAGCTAGGCCTTCATCTTTCTTCTTCTATTGCTCTGCCTTCCCCCTGCAAAATGCAAATTCTTCATTAGTTCCTGTTTTAACACTTGTTTGTATTTGGGATTGATAGGGTTCATGAATATGTTGATGGTAGACAGGATCCTTTTATCTCAAAGTAAGCCTTTCTATTCTAACTTCTCAACTTCATTCAAAGAGTTCCCCATGTGCACCAGATACTGTGGTTTATGGCTAGAGCCTAATCCTTTTTCTTTGATCTTTCTTTCTTGACTGCTGCAGAAAAGAGGAGTCTCATCTGTTGCATAAGCCCTGCCTCTCCTGGAAGCAACTGTGGTAAAACCAAATTTCCCCCCTTTCACTAATTGAGCTTATAATTAAATAAAGCTTTCATCTTGCAATTAGGACATGATTCCCAATTATCTACCTAGCTAGATGGATAGAGGGACGAAATAACTTGTGGGAGGCAAGGCAACCTTTTTATGCTTGTGTTTGTGACACAAAAATAAGACTAACAAGTGTGGTACAATTGTTTTGCAACTACCCTCGACAGTCGGCCATGGGGTTGCTGCCTCAGTGAATGCCAATGCCACGTTCGACTCCCCAAATGTTTGTCCTGTTGTCCCTGCCGCCGGCGTCAGAACAGCGGCCGCCGCCAATCCGGCTCCGACTCCAACTCCAACGCCAATTGCAGTAGTTGTTGGGGGAAACCAACTTGCAAGAGGGGCAGCTGCAATGGTTGTTGCCTGATGAAAAAAACAATGTCATGTCTATCTTGTAGTAACTGTACAAAGGTGAACGGTTGTTGTCCTAGTTGTTCGAACAATTGCCGCTGCTGCTGCTGCTGCTACAAGTCATGCTGCTGTCTATGAGTTGAATAGCTGCTACAGTTTTCATTTTGAGTGACAATGATATTACTTTGGGGAATGCCAGCCAAAGGGGGTGAATTAAGTTACTCATAAAAAAAAAAATACTCTCGACCTTCCCACCGGCTTTCCTACTATTACTATATCATGCTTCTATACTATATCTCGAGTGATTGTGTTGACTTCGAGAGAGAAAGAAACTTTTCTGGTTCAGATCAATGAATCACTCTTTCTCTCAATCTAAATGTAAAAAGGATAGTTTATTGATTGGAAGGGAAAGATTACAAACTGGAATGGTTTACACAGAATTCCTAAGCCATGCCAAACTGAGTTGGCACTTTGAAAACACTCGAAAACACGACTCTCTTCCCAAGCTTAATCCACCCAGCTAAACACACTGTGAGTTAAGCAACTTGAAGAGACAGAAACACGGACCTAAAGTAGACAAAGCTCTCTGCTAATTTCTTCTACTGAAAACGGTCGAGAATCAATTGAAAGAGAAGTGTGATGATTTATACTAGAATGGAGGAGATGACCGTTGCTGGATGCACATGCGCTCCTCTGGTAATTTCATCATTGCCCTCATGGAGTCGGTGATACCTTGTAGAAGATCACCAAGAACAGTTTTGG